TAAATAAATAAATAAATAAATAAATAGTATCTTGGTAAACTTGGACTCATTGGAAATGTAATTTAACAAGGACTCCAAACCATGTTAGGGTCCATTAAACATTTGATCTTTCCTACAACCTTGATATTGACCTTGTGGATCACATGACCTTAAAATGACCTTTCCTGAAATTAAATTCCCCCAGTTGTTATTAAAACATACACAAGTTTCAGAGTGGCAATATTTTTTGTTAACGAGCAATTTTGATTCAATAAATATGAAATCTAATGAAACTAACCATAAGAAGCTTTATAAAAAGGTACACAGTTAATAAGTACAAACCCAAATCCAACTGAGACGTTGTTCAAAACATAAATAAAAACAATACAATGATTTACAAATCCTTTACAACTTATATTCTGTTGAATACACTACGAAGACAAGATATCTAATGATCAAACAGGTAAACCCTTTTTTGCAAATATTCACTCAAAGTCTTGCTGATACACAGCTCTACTAAAGAGTCAAACAGCTCCGTCCATCAGATAAACCATTTGATCTGAAGGGATATTGATTATCAGAACAAGTTTAAATAAATAAACTCTGGTCAACAAGTTTTGAGAGACGGAATGGAATCAAATTAAAAACATCAGGTCAAAAGATGTGTAAAAACCTGAAAAGCACTCTATTTAAATTAAAGGGGATTAAGCTGTATGCTAACAGAACAGCAATAAATCTTCCTTTTTTGTTTGATGCCTTGAAATGACGCGTTCATCTGGAAAACAGCTTTTTTATCTTTCAGCTCAAACGTTACTTCAGGTGCTACAGAACACAAAAAGCTTAAAGAAACAATTAATTTAGTAAACGCTGTGAATCTCTTCACATTTAAGGGAAAAAAGTTCAGTTTATTGAAAAATTAGCTACAGTGAGAATTAGGAGGGTGATTTTGTAGCCAAATATCAGTTGCTATTGTAGTTTTAATGCAGATAAATTCATATTTCAGTTATTTGGCTTTGAAGATAAATGAAACGGTTAAAAAAGTGTCATATTTGTTAAAAAGGAAGCAACAGAACGTGCTAACACATGAAAG